GTTATAGGTTGTATAATATAGTCTCCTTGGGGAGTGCTGCTGGTACTCAACACTTAGAAGAACATGTAGCACATGGTAGTGACTTGGTACCTATTTGCTGAGTGGATTAAGGAAGAGTTCATCAGACAGATGGAAGAGAAGAGCCTTCTAATCAGAAGGGGGCAAAATAGGAAAGGATTGGGGGAAATGCTGCTGGTGGCCTGGGAAGGAGGATGATATGTGTGGATGTGGGGAGCACTGGGGGCACTTGGTGAGAGGTTAGTCTGTTGAAATAAACCTGAGTCCTATCTGGAATGCTAGCACAGGGAATTTTTTTTTTTAAAGATTTTATTTATTTATTCATGAGAGAGAGAGAGAGAGAGAGAGAAGCAGGCTCCCAAGGAGCAGGGAGCCCGATGTGGGACTCGATCCCAGGACCCTGGGATCATGACCTGAGCTGAAGGCAGACGCTTAACCGTCTGAGCCACCCAGGTGTCCCCTAGCACAGGGAATTTTATTTAATATTATGATTGTTAATTTTTTCATCAAAAACTGATCTTCAGCTAATGGCAAGGTAGAAGAGAAACCTAATATGTGTGATGCACCAACTCATTTGACACACGTCCTTTTTTTTTTTTTTAAGATTTTATTTATTTATTTTAGAGAAAGCAAGAGAGCACAAGCAAGGGGAGTGGCAGAGGGAGAGGGAGAAGCAGGCTCCCCCCTGGGCAGGGAGCCCAATGTGGGGCTCAATCCCAGGACCCCGGGATCATGACCTGAGCCACCCAGGCACCCTGACACACATCCTACTACCTAACACCCCCATTATCCTCTCAAGTATTATTCTTATTTTCCATATAAGAAGTTCAGAGATTTGAATGATTTGCACAAGATCACTGTCTATGAAAGAAAATTCTTACTCTTCTTAATTCAGTGAAATCTTCATTCTAAAAATGGGGGAGAACTTGGGGAAGGGAGCTGGTACCTGCAGATCCTGTCCTTGTGCCCAGGTTCATTGTATTCTGGAGGACCAGTCCCAAGTCTGCCCTCAGCCACCTTGCCTCCTCATTTAGTCTTGGGGACACAGAGAACAATTGAAAGTTGTAACAAAGCTATGGGGTAATGTTTAGGGTATAAACATAAAACCCATTAATTATTGTGAATTGCCTTTGGCAGTGAGACCCCATGCAGATTTCTCTTGGCTTACCTCTGGCCGTCTTCATGTGAGCAACAGCATCTTTAATTCCTACCATCAAGAAGACTTTTAGATGCTAAGATCCCTGCCCAAGAGAGTGAATGCCCACAGAGAAAGTGGTTGTTTCATATTTTGTCTACTGAAGACTGACTTGTATTCAAGTTATTTAATATGCTTAGGTTTGTGTCTGCCACATGGTAGATGCTCATGAATATCAGCTTTATTATTCACCTCAGTTCATATTTTTGATAATTAAGCTCTCTCAGGGGATCGAACCTGAAACACCATACTTATGCTTGTGGCCTTGCAGATTCAGTGTGATAATCATATCAACATAAAAATAGATTTGATATTCACATAAAGGATAGGCAATGATGTTGTTTTATTATAGGATTATTATGAGTTAGGGTTGATGCATGAGTGTGTCTCTCCTCATCTCCTGGCCTTTCACTAGAAAGGAGTGTGAAGGGAAAAAGACCTTTTGCCCAAATCCGTAGAGATGATGAGAACCCAGCAGCTTTTTAGCCATCTTCCTGGTGCGTGGGTAATTGTTCAGGCTGCCGAGAGAACCCGAGGAAGAGATGCTGAATAGCTGTTAGAAATATTTTAGAAATCATGCAAAATTAGAGGAGTTGCAAATGACAGGCAAATGGTCTGATTTTCTAAAGAAGAGAGGCACATTTTGACCCCTGGATGGTAAGTTCCATTTCATTTCTCAGAGTCTGATGGAGATTCTCAAAAAGGTGGTTTGTGAGCATCTGCAGAGGAAGCACACACACCCCTAAAATCCATTCTTCCAAGTTTCACAAAGAACAGGCCATGCCAGATCAGGGCCATTTCTTCTGGGATGGATTGCCAGTTGGATAGCTCAGAAGGTCATGTATTTGCATGTCAGCCAAGAGTCCTAATACAAATTGATTTTTATTTTATTTTAGTGCTTGTTTTGTGTCAGGCACTGTGACAAGCACTGGGGATAATGGAGCTAAAGAAGTTCAGTTTCATGATGTCAGAAGTACTCTGTGATATCAAATAGATGTGTACAAATGAATGGTGGAAATAATTAGTTTGGTTACTAATAATTGATTTAATAAACACACATTTTATAATGATGCTTATACATTTTTGGATAAACCATAAATGCTAAGAAAATGTTATTTATTGATGGACCTAGTCCAGAAAGGTGAATTTTGTGTGTGACAAAGACCAAAATTGAGATGAATTATAACAATAACAAAGTCCTACACTCCTTTCTGCTTATTTTAAAAATTTAATTGCTTGTATGTCTGTATGTTTGTGAATTGTATGTTAAAGATTTAGTGTTAATGCGTAGATCTTTACTATAAACTTTTGTGATATAAATAAAATAAAACCTTCCTGAAAAAATTTCTCCTTCTCTCCAAAGAACAATGTTGGTACCTATAACTACACAACCACACCAATGCTGGGAGAGGGGTGGGTAGGGAGCAGGAGAATGTGTCTAGGTTGTCCAGAAGCTCATTATTACAACCTCTATGTGCTTCTTTCTAATGAATCATTTTTTCCCACTAGGGCATGAACTCCTCTAAGTCAGGGCCTGTGTACTGTAACCTTAATATCTGGCAAAATGCCTGGACCCTCACAAGTTCTCAATAAGTACTTCTTCAAGATGTATTTCCTTCCTCAACACTCCCCCCCCCAAAAAAAACCCTTCATTTGATCTGATATTGCATTAATTATGGAATAGCATCTCTATTAGTTTCTCATTATTGCTGTAACAAATTGATAAAAAGCTAGTGGCTTAACACAATACAAATTTACTGTCATTACATTTCCAGAAGTCAGCAATCCCCAAAATCAAAGTGTTGGTAAAGCTATGTTCTTCCTCAGGGAGGCCTTTGGGAGAATCTGTGTTCTTTCCTCTTCCAGGAACTAGAAACCACCCACATTACTTGGCTTGTGGCCCCTTCAAACCAGCAACTCTCTGACCCTTTTTCTTGTCACATTTCTTTCTCTGACCACTCTGTTAGAAGAGATTCTCTTCTTTTAAAGATTCATGTGGTTAGATTGGCCCTACCTGTATCATCCAAGATATTGCCATAAAGAGTAACCTATTCACAGATTATGTGATTGCAGTTAGAACTAGGGTGTGGACATCTTTGGGAGACCATTACTCTGCTTATCACAGCCTCCAAATCAGAAAGGTGGTGGTAATAAGGTGTTAGACTCTACCCCGAATATTTTACTAGCCCCACTTCAATCAAATACTTGAAAATTACAGCAAAGAACCAGAACAGCAGGGAGATTTGGAGTTGTGCCAGTCTAAGGGATGTTTAAAGGAATAGGAAGCTTAGCTTAGAAAAGAGAAGACCTACATTTCGGGGTCCAGTGGCAATTGTGGTTTGAGGAGGCACAAAATGACTGCTTCTTCAAAATATCAGAAAATTCTGTTGCCTAACAGGATTGCACACTTGTGCTATGCAATCTCAGAGGACTGAATAGGATTAATCTTGGAAACTTCAGGGAAGCAACTCTTGGCAGAAATTAAGGCAGGATTGTATGGACATTAATGATGTCCTTCAATATTAGCAGGCTAGAAATGGCATGGCTCGATGCCGTGGGGGTCTTACAAAAGAGATTTGAGCATTAGTACAGCTCAGGTGGACTGTCAAATTCCTTTTAAGCCTCACAGACACCAATTCTGTGACCTAGAATTCCATTCATGACCTTCAGACACCTCCAACTGTGTGTAGCTAGAACTGGCCAAGGCCTTACATCCTTACTGAAGAGTCATTTCTTGCCCTCACTAATCTGTATTTTAGGATCTGTCTGATACCAAGCAGAAGAAGTGAAGGAAGCTGGTAGAGCTGATGTCTCTTCAGAAGATGCAGTAACTCATATTATTGTTGAAAATATATATTTAAAAAAACAGTAGCCATAGAGATAGTACAAATTTTAAAATATTACACAAATACTTAAAAATACTCTCTGGCATATTCAGACATGAAAAGAAAACAACTGCAGAAGACAAGGCATGAAGAAAGTGTCGATTCATTAGGTGGTTTGTGTAAGAATCAAGTCTGACTCATGAGGAAGTTGGCTATTTAAAACGAAGGGAACAAAAGAAAGAGTAGACTAGATTCTTTCATCTTAATCCATAAAATGACATATTTTGAGATGTTTTTTAACCTGTCCACTTTGGGGATGGTTATCTGGAGTAACTTGCACAGATCTGGGAGCTGCTGTAGAAAGGGCTGTTTTTATGTAAATGGCATATGTAGCATGAAAGTATTTTTCGTACTTTAACTAGTTTGTTACTTTATTCTTGATCTTTTAAGTATACATCTGAATGTCTAGTTTATAAACCTGGACTCTACTTTGTGTTATGTGTTACATTAGACCACTTGACCCACAGATTATTTTGTATCCCAAAAATATCCAAAAGGAATTAAGAAATTAATTATAACTTCAGTTGTATTCAAGAGAACTCTTTGTGGTTTCTTATAGCTGTTATTTATCTGTCTTCAAAGAGAGTCTTAAGTATCTGGCTTTGGGGTTGTAATGGTCATTCTAGACTAAGAGGAGCTTGTTCAGACACTTAAGACGTTGGGCCAGTACTGCCAATGACTTCATACCACTCCCATCTTCTTTCCACTTCTGTGGATTACCCAACAGCAATAATGGTCATTCTAGCCAGCTCCTGATACTCCTCTCTACAGTCAAGGGAAGGTCAGCTATTTTTTGATTCCCATGGGAGAGAGACAGCTTCTCAATCAGTATCCTAAAATAGCTGGCCGTTCTCAGCTGCTGGGCTGGAGTCCCTCCAGGGGAGAGCAAAGGGAACACAAATCCACCCACTGGGTGTAAGTGAGAAACCACCACAACATGAGCTAGGAGAGGCTTCTCAAGAAGATCCTGCTTACTCAAAAAATCTTTCTTCTTCTTCTTTTTTTTAATTGAGAAGCTAGGTGTCTGCCATTTTTTTTTTTTTTAAATTTCTTTTATTTAAAGAGAAACTAGTGACTTGAAAATGAGACTAAATATTGCCGTCTTCTTTGGGGCTCTCTTCGGTGCTTTGGGGGTTTTACTCTTTTTGGTGGCTTTTGGATCAGATTATTGGCTTCTTGCAACTGAAGTGGGGAAGTGTTCAGGTGAACAGAATGTGCGTTTCTTCTTCCAAATACTGATGTACTTGGTAGGGATGAAGATAGCCTTATGTATCCTCTTGAAATCAGAGAATAGTAGTGGAGTGCCTATTTCTTCACAGAAGAAATAGGTAGAAAGCTACTGACCATTATTATTTGGGATAAAATACATTGCTTTAACATTTTCCTGGATGTGATAATTTAGGTATGTACTTTGTGTTGACAGCAAGTTACTTCATTTGTGTTCTGTGTAGATAGAGAACGTCACTTTCCACCATGAAGGATTCTTCTGGAGATGTTGGTTTAATGGGATTGCGGAAGAGAATGATTCCAGTATCTGGAAGTTCTGGTACAGTAAGTGCAATTTAGCTTTATTTTCCCCTTTGTCATTAAAATAAGAATGAACAGCTTCGATTCTTAACTGTAGAATCTTGATAGGACATCTTCAAAAGACTCATGAAGTGATTCTTTTTCAGTAAGTAGAAATGGCTATAGGAATAATTATTTTATTTTCTAACTTAAAGTAGGAGTCTGAATATTTATGGCAAAACTGAATTATATGCTGTTTCCTTGCTCTTATTTAAAATACACTAACAACAACAACAAAAATCCTTGATATTACCTATAATATTTTTCTCAAGTGTCTATTACTGCTGTGTTGCAAATAATTTTTTTCTTTTTTTTTGGCTATCAACCCTTGAAATCTCAAATTTAAAAATTTAGAAATAGAGATGTGTTATTTTATATTCATGGCTTTAAAGTTAAAAATTCTTTTCTTTTTTATAATGAAACTTAATTACCAGCAACAGTGGATGAAAGCTCACTCTCTTTGGGCTTTAACCATATTTGTAGGCAATATCAAGAAATGCCTGGCTTTTGATGTTTGCATTCTCTTATAGAAACTTGAAAGTTCTCTTTTGAAGTAGAATAACCTCTTAAAAATATGAGGCATTCTTTTCACTGTATTTCCTATATTATATTAATCTTTGAAAATCAATTCATTGAAAATCACTAGCTTTTATCTTATGGCATTCGACAATAAAAGAACTGCTTATTACCCTGAAGGTTATTGTAGGTTGAAATTATTAGTCTTCTTATCACATACTCCTGTGATATATCAAAATCTGGCATTTACTCATATAATAAAGAATATATAATAAAAATATGAGATCTTAGAAGACAAGCAAGCTGACAGCAAGTTGGCATGTGTAAAAGTAACCAAGTAATGATGAAATAAAATTTTGCAAGAAATAGTCGACAGGTTTCTCACAGTCATTTTGGGGAAGAGAAAAAGCATGCAATCTGCCAATAAAAAGTATTTAGACTTTGATAGAGTAAGTCAGACTGTGCAAGAGGAAGACTTTGCCAAGGACTTAGAGAAAGGAAGAATTTCACTCCTCCTTAAAGGGTACACAGTGAAATCTTCAAGTTTTCAAACAACATAAAAGTTTTTTCTTGTATTTTCTCCAAATACTAAAAATGCATTTGAATTATTAACTTGTATGACCTATCATTTCCAATTTGTTCCCTAAAAATAGAATATAGGATACTTTTTATATTAATCAGAACTGATCAAGGTTAAATCTAAGTTTATTAGATTTTTAAAACAATTACTTTTTGAATACTTAACTATGCACTAGGCATCATGTTAGGAACTGGAGGATATGGTTGTGAAAATAAATGAAGTGTAGTGCCTTTAATTTTAAGGTGATATTAGGGGCATTCTCTGCACTGAACTATGTAATGAGCTAGATGTTTTGGATGAATCCACTTTCCAGGTCCCCTGAGCTGCTTGATGTTTTTCCCCTTCATTCAACAGTTCTTTGAACCTATTGATCTAACCTGCAGTTTGTTTAGCTTGTGTGATCCAGATCCCACATTTCTCTTCTGTTAGGAATGCGTCTTCACCTCATTCTCTCAATAACTACCTTTGTTTGGTCTCCTTTCTAGCCAATCAGCCACCATCCAAGAACTGCGCACATGCTTACCTGTCACCATATCCCTTCATGAGGGGAGAGCACAACTCAACTTCCTATGATTCTGCTATTAGTAAGTACCTCTGTCCATAGAATGCCTCTGAGAGGGACTTGTTTTTCTGAAAAAAATAATTTAACATGTATCATTTCAACATTTTCTCTGGTATCAATCTGTTATATATAAAATAATAGGATGCCATTTTTAATACACCATTTATAATTCTAATTGAATATAATTTAGGTTTAAAAGTAAAACCATTGAGGGGCTCCTGGGTGGCTCAGTCATTAAGCGTCTGCCTTCGGCTCAGGGCATGATCTCAGGGTCCTGGGATCGAGCCCCGCATTGGGCTCCCTGCTCAGTGGGAAGCCTGCTTATCCCTCTCCTACTCCCCCCACTTGTGTTCCTGCTCTCGCTGTCTCTCTCTCTGTGTCAAATAAATAAATAAAATCTTTTTTTAAAAAAAAGGAAAGCCATTTTAATTTACTTGCTACTTATAAAGATATTTTTTTACGTGTGTTTTCTGATGTGGAAATAATGATGTTTATTAGGAACAACTGCTTCTTATGGGTTTAACTGACCTGAAACTAGTCTTACAATGAAAAGTAATTGTAATATACACCCTACCTTTACAACATTGTTTTTGCAGCTGTTGCACATACAAATATGATTATACTACTGTTTTCCTACAAAATGACTGAACTTTGTTATATGTGATAACTCATAGAAGAAGAATAGTCAAATATCATTAACTGAGAGTCATGATTACCTAGTTTCTTTTATATTTTCATACTGTTTGTTCTAGGGAAAGTACACAAACTTAGTTTGTACAGAAAATACATAATATATGCTTAAATCTAGTTTTATGGAAAGTATCTGAACTCAATGTGTCAGCTTTATTCTCAGCTGGTTTCATGAAGTTTTTGATAAAGGGTGTTTATCATAATCTTAACATTAAGAGTTGGTTCAGAATTTACCAACGTCATAAACAGGGACAAAAATACTTGTTTTTTCAAAGATAATAAGTAATGTATTTAATGTTCTGAATAAACTTGTATTAGTCAGTATTCTCCAGAGAACCAGTAAGAGGTATACAGGTGGGGGTGGGGGTTGGGGAGTGAAAATGATTGATTTATTGGATTGATGGAGAGATTTTAAGGAATCGGCTTATGCATTGTGGAGGCTGGCAAGTCTACAATCTGTAGGAAAGCCTGCAGACTGGATCAGAGTTGCTATTGCAGTCTTGACTCTGAAGGCTGGAAACGCTGGTAGAATGTCTTCTTTAGGAAACCTCAGTCTTTGTTCTAAGGCCTTCAACTGATTGGATGAGGCCCGCCCCCATTATGGGTAGTCTAACCAAATTAATGCATAAGATTAACCATCAAAAATCTTAACAAATCTTTACAGCATGCATAATTTTTTCATCTTTTTATAAAAATATGTATTTCTATACCTTATAATTTTAAGTTTGCTGAAGGATATAACATCTGCTTATATCACATGATTAACACATTTTATGGAGTGGATGTGGGGTCTGGATAGGAAAATAGGTGAGCTGACACACAGCCATGCCTATCCATCAAAGTCGCTTATGCTTCAAATGGCTATGGCTTTTGGCCTTGAGAATGTGCAGTGTGGATGCTCTTTCCCATTGAAAACTGCACAAGGCAGTTCCCATTTGTCAAAGCCCTTTGTATCCTGTGTGACATGGACCTTCTCACTGATAAGAGAAGAGATGGCATAGCAAAGAGTAGGAGAAATCATTTTGTATTACAAAAAGTTGCAAAAAAAGTATTCCCCTGACATTCTTATTTTTGTAAAATGGACTAAGAAATGGTACAGCGTTGACTTTCCACAGCATCAGGTATTTGCATAGATAATTAGGATTGTTGTTGATACTCATATGTTCAGGTCCTATGATGAGATAGGTATCGTGGACAATATATATTTTAAAATGAATCTACATATTTGAAAAGTCTGCACCTCAAGGAAATAGAAGAGAACCTGAAAAACAAGGTGACATGATCTAAACATAATAATTATGATGGAGATGGATAGTAAATGCATGTCACAAAAATTATACTGCAATTATGCTTAGAATTATTATGTAGCACTGCATATAATTACTGTGTCATTTTTTGGATCCGATGACAAAACCATATTCCAATTTTTTTGTTTTAAATTATCAGACTCCTCTTTGGCTCACATATTGTAACTCCCTATTCACTTTAAGCAACTTTATCAAACACTTTAGCAAAAATAACTGAGACAGGAAGAAGTATGTCCTACAACAGAAATAGCATATACATATTTCATTTACCTTCATAATAATGTACAGTGATATCTAACATTGTATTTGGGTGATTTTTTCTTATGGTTTCCTTTATCCAAGAGAAGGGCCATAGATATCGTTAGAAGAGTTTTACCTGATTGAAAGTGCATGTTTCCTAGTTAGTGAGGCCATCTAATCTTTACTAGACTCCATAGCCACTCTTTGGCTTCATGTAGCCTTATAATGATCAGGCATTATACATTTGCTAATTTATCTTGGCTAAATTCAAAGTATTGTTTGTAAAATCTGGTGCATTCCAGCCTGGCAAATAATTGGTAAAACGGCTTTGTATTCTCTTGAGTTTTTGCAGTTGCAGTTAGCCAGTATTGAAATCAGTGAAAATAATATAGTGGTATTTAATTTTTCTGGAAAGACTATTTTGCAATCATTGGATGCTACTGATGAAATTATTCTATTTCATCACATGGAGACTGAGACTCAGAGAAACCATGTGACGCTGTTTTCACACAGCTGATCATTGGCAGAACTAATGCAAAGGCCCAAGTCTCTGGATTTTCTCTATTGATAATCTTATAAACTACAGTGAATGAAAAGGCAAATTTTAGTGTTTGCCATTAAATCTTTTTAAGTATAAGTCTTTTCATTGGATCTCAGCAAAAGAACAATTCTAACATTATGTTGGCTTTTTCTACTTTTCTATCTGATCCTGATAAGGTCTAATTTAGTGTTTCCTTTATTTATTTTTGCCTCAAATACATATTCTAAAATTTGGTTATGCTCAAATCTAGTTATTTGAATGGTTGCCCAAGCCTAGAGAGGTTGTTAAAGTAGGATTGTGTACTTCGAAGTCCTTTAAACAATTCCATTACCTTTTGATATCCATCAGAATTTAGATTTTCTGGTTTGTTTCATGATTAAACTCAATCACAGTTTGTGTATTCCGTATCATTTGGAATGATGTACAGAACATAGATTAATTTTCTAGATAATTGAGCCCCTGAGTGAATTAGTCATTTTGTTGGTATCCCCATAGCCTTTGGCCACACCTATATAAAAGTGCTCATTTTAAGTAACTGTAATTGTTTACCTTAGTTTCTTTATTTGTTGAAACTCCCTAAAGGCACAGAATATATCTTACTCATATTTATATCCCAGAACCAGGACCTAGTATAGTGCATGGTACTTAGTAAATGCTTACATATCTCTATGGAATGACTTAGTGCAAAAACTCCTTGGCTTTCCTCTTAAGCAGAATATATTGAACATAATTTCTCCTTTTCTTGGTGAGTTGGAACACACACACATGACCTTCCTTGAGTTTCTCAGAATCAGTGTTTGCCCTCATGCTTTAGGGCCTTTGTACATGGCGTCCCTCCTCTCCAAATGCTTTTCCTTCTTCCCCCTTCTCCCTTCGTTAGAAGAGTTTTACCTGATTGAAAGTGCATGTTTCCTAGTTAGTGAGGCCATCTAATCTTTACTAGAGATTAGTAAATCTCCTCCCTTCATTTCTCTAACAAGCAGGCTCATCCTCCAAGCTAGTACATACTTCAGTTTTCTAAGGAAGACTTCCTTGCCAACCCTCTGCTCCACTAGTACATGGGCTAGACCAGGTTCTCCTTTATCAAGACCATTTTTTTCTTTTTTTCTGAGTATGCTCCATGCCCAACGTGGGGCTAGAACTCACAACCCTGAGATCAAGAGTTGCATGCTGTACTGACTGAGCCATTCTTTAATTTGACTATCCATAGCACAGATTTTGTTTACTTGTGTAATTATGAATTTCCTTCCCAGTTCAACTCTAAGCTCCATGGCAGTGATGTCTTGTGTGTTTGGCTCACTGGTGTACCCACTATGGACTGAGTGCTAAATGAATACTTTGGGAGAGTCTCCTTGTTACCCTATGCTGTGGTACTAATACTGATGCACTAAGGAACTGTTGGTGCATGTAGGAATTTTTCAAACCTTTACTAAGTGGACTTAGATTACTCTTAAATTGTTTTTCATACTTTTAAAAATAATTTTTAGGTCTTCAACACTACTTTCACATGTCAGCAGTCCTTTGCTTTTATTGTCAATGTTTATTTATTTCGTATTATTTTCTGATCTTCTCTTTCTTCACCCTTAATGCAAAATTGTAGGGTAAAGCAGATTATGGAAGACTAGAACAGGAAGGAGGCAGGTAGGCACATTAGTCAGCCATGTGTTAGGTTGTAAGTGACAGAAAACTAATGAGCTAAAAAATAAGGGCAGTTTTCCTTCCACAGCAAGCTCAGAAGCAGCGGCCACAACGATGCTGTCAGGGCCCCAGGAGCTTTCAGGCTTTCTTCCCACCATCCTTGGGAGGTGCACAGTTGCCGCCATGCTCTTCCCTCTTCAGAAGAGCACAGTGTCCCTAGAATTCTCCAGTAGATTTCTGCCAATGCTGTAGTCATCAAGACAGTGTCATGTGGCCACTGTAGGCTGGGACCTGGAGTTGCTGGCTCTCTAGTCAGAGGAGGAGAAGGGAGAAGGGCCGGGATTGAGTGCTGATCCCTTAAAAGATCAACAAGTCCTCAGAGTTTGAGGGCGGGGCAGCAAGGATGAAAAGGGAATAAAGGAAATAGATGATATTTAAAGTGTTAATGTGTAGGAATGCCTGGGTGGCTCAGTTGGTTAAGTGGCTGCCTTTGGCTCAGGTCATGATCCCAGGGTCGTGGGATAGAGCCCTGCATCAGGGCTCCTTGCTCAGGGGGGAGCCTACTTCTCCCTCTCCCTCTGCCTGCTGCTTCCCCTGCTTGTGCTC